ATTCGAGAGTGGCACACTGGTACAAGGGGCTTTGCATTGTTCCTCAAGAAGCTGCCTCACCGAGGGGCACATACCAAGTCCATCGGTAGAGTGACGTCATGCCGAACGCGGAGATGAAGAGAAACATATGGCCACTTCGGACCGGTAGCCGTCGTCGAAGGCATGCCGCGAGGTTCGATACCTAATCGGGAAAGACCGGCTACGTTGGTGTGGCTTGGAGCGAAGCGCGCGCTTGGCCGAGCGGCGTCAAGTGGCCCTATTGTTCGCCGAATGCGGAAGATGTCCCGGGATCTACGCGCGAGGCATCGGGACGACCGTGCCGAGCTTCGAGTAAGCGTCGCGCACCGTCGAAGATGTCGAAGAGCGTCGAAGGCGAAGTCGAACTGTTGGGAGACTGAGTCGAAGTGCCGGGCGGGATGCGAGTGCCGAAAAGAGGTGTATCGGGGCCCAGCGGGGCTCGGCGCCTATCAACGGACACGTGGATTAGGTTCCTGCTGCATGCTAGCCAAAAGCAGTACTGGGCCCCACGTGAATCGCGAACCCTAGTGTTATCTTGGGCGCCGTAGGTGTAAGCTAGCTAGTATGGCCTTTCATAGCATGCGCACCTCCCCTTCCTTCCCCCATCACCGTGGCTGACGAATTCTTCGACTGCTCTCGACTTGAGCACACATTCGACACCCAGGAGCAAATCGACGTCTCCCACGACGACCCAGAGAGCGACGGATCCAAAGCTCCATTCTTCATTTGTGATTGACAACCATGCCCTAATCACACTCCACAGTCCATCACTGCCGAGGAAGGACACTACGTGCCAATCAGACAAGTCCAGCACCCCAGCGGCCCCGCACTCCGGTACGCTGGCACATCGAGATCTACTTCTCGCCACGTCCCATCCCGACCTGCCTCCCCAGGCACCCGCATTCCCCAACCTGTCACCAGTACAGGTCAAGCACAAGGAGATCCCAATCTCCCTCGAGGAACTGAGGTAGTCGCACAGCCTACAGCAACCCCTCAAGCGATCCCCCAGCCCTCCTTGGGGCCGCGGTTGGAAAGGAACCCGAAGCCTGAGCCCAGCGACAGTCCAGCGGTTACTTGGGCCAGCTTGTCGTCAGCAATCTCGTCCTCGACTCCAGTCCCTATCGTACGTCACCCCGCTGTCAGGTCAGAAAGTGTTCTGCCGCAGTTCACCGGATACGTCAACAGTATCAGGCTATCACGGTTGTTCGGTTTGAGGGAAGAAAGTGATTGACTAATGACCACTCAAGGACTGATAACAACCAACAACTAAACCACCAATTTCAACAACTTCAAAGGCTTAACATTGACTTTTATGAGTGTGGGTGACTTGGATGCTTGACTGGCGTGTGCTTGACGTGACTGGCTTATACGTGACTTGACTGGCTTATACGTGGATTGACTGGCTTATACGTGACTTGGCGTGACTTGACTAGCTTGATTCAACAGACTATAGCTCCGCTTGAGCAACAGACTGCTGATAACTGGGCGATACGTGACGAGCGTGACTCAGACCAGGGTTCCGCTTGAACAAAGGTCGAACTATGACAACAAAAGGCAAGCTTCAGATAACAAGCACCTTAGAGTCAATCTATAGTTTGTTTTGGGCAAGCTGTATGCCCTCGACACTGCAGATAAGCACCAAACGACTTGGTGTAACTAGACGAGCGAATATGAGCGATGATGAGCGAGTACGAGCGATTACGAGTGATGACGAGCGATGATGTTGATGATGTTGCCAACAGCGATGACAGAGCCAAAGACAGTGAAGACAAGCCTTACTTCAAGCAAGCTTACAGTGTCAATAGCAGCTTACACTGGTTTACACACAGTGGACTGACTTTAGAGGAAGAATATGTCTATTCCCTCAAGTGGGTCAATATCTGTACTGTACAAAATCTGGGTCCTTATATACTACTCTGGAGGCCCGCTGACTAAGCATCTGATTCTGCCTTATTCATTCGCCACTCATCACTATTTCATAAGCAGATTCTCTCCTCCAATAGCAATTCATGCTCGCTTGGTAAGGCAGGCTTTATGAGCCAATAGCATTTTTCTCTCATTCTGGATTGAAACTGGGCATTTGCCAGATTGACCTAGGCTGGGCCTAGGTGTTACTGGATTGGCCTGCACTTGACCTGGATTTTTCTAGGTTTGGCCCACACCTGGCCTAGTTACTGACTGGTTCGGCCTACGCCTCGCCTGGATTACCACTAGATTGACTCACAGCTGGCCTAGCTGGGTTCTGCACTGGCCTAGGACCTGGTTCTGGGCTTCCGTTCCCATTAGGAAAGTCACCTGATCAAAGTTGCCTAAGATGGCAATTTCCCACGCTCCGCTTTCCTTTTTAGTTGATCAGCTTTCCTTTTTTAGTCTATTTCTTCTCGTGATCTGCTAGACTTTGCCTTGCCTATTCAACTTAGGTGTTTTCAGTGGTATGATGTTCAAGCTGTCCACTATGTTCACATGCCAAACACTTTTGGCCTGTGACACCGCCTCCGGACTTCCTCCGTCGCCTCCACCGCCGTCGCCACCGCAAGGCTGCTCGAGCACTCGCTCCTCTCGAAGTTCGCCCAGTGGACAGTCACAACAGCCGTCTTCACCCACGGGCAGTCCTCCGTCCCCCTCATCACCGGTAATGTCATCGCCAGCGTCCCCTCCCGATAAGGAGACACTGAGGCTCCTGCTCCCCCTCCGATACGATGGAAAAACCATCATTGAGTGCGACCGGTTCCTATCCCAACTCCGCATATACTGGCTGGTCAATACGTCATTGGCTACCATCGAGCTCAAGGTACAGGTCGCTTTGAGCCTCCTTGACGGCGACGCTCGCACCTGGGCTACCCCCTTCTTCGCCCAGCTCGTATCGGTACAGTTAGGTACCCAAGGAGTCACGACCCCCTTCGCAAACGAGGCAGCCTTTGCCACCGCGCTCAAGGCCCGCTTCGGCAATCTCGACGACGAAGCTGCAGCACAGGTAGAGCTGGCCAAACTCTGTGCTGACAAATCAGTATGCGAAAAATGCACTGCTGCGGAGTTCTCCGCACTATTCAAGGGTCCGGCGGACCGCCCCGGGTATGGAGACCTGGAACTCCGCGACAAGTACCTGAGCGGCATCCCCTCTCGCGTGTACCGCAAAATCGAGCTTGAGACGTTTACACATGGGAAGATGCTGACAAGTGCACCATGGAGGTCGAACAAATACTCGACATCAGCCGGGCCTGTTGGCCTGAGTTGAACAGTTTCTTCTCAGCTCGAGGAGGTGGACAAGGTGGAGCGTGCGGTGGTGCACCCCAATCGCACGGAGCTTTGGCCAGCATCAACGCAGCCGTCGGAAAAGGAGACTTCCCTGGCAGTTGCTTTGGCTACGGGAAGCAAGGGTACCGTCGCTTCGAGTGCCCCAACTGTAAGGACAAACCTTACACCAAGCGTGCTGATGCATGGGCTACGGTTGCCTCGGGTTCTACCCAGGCCGCAACAAGCACCCCTGTCACGACATCACCCTCGGCAAGTACAAGTGCCGCTTCAGCGAGTCCAGAGAAATCTGAGATGCTGGCGGCCTTAATGGCACAGGTGAAGTCGATGCGCGAGGAGTTGGAGCACTATCAGGCGATGAAGGAGGAGTCTTTTTGATCAGGTCCACGCTTCATGCCGCACGTGTCGGGCCTCGTAATAACAATCTGTACAATGTATTGGTGACTGCGAATGTGTACGAGTTGGACCATGGGTCCCAGCATTTCCACATCCCAGTATGCCTCAAAGGAGAAAGACAGCACAAAGACATAGTCGCAATGGTGGACAGCGGAGCCACCACGAAGTTTATCAACAAGTGTTTCATCCAGGAGAATCGAGTACGAACACGGAAATTGAAGGAACCAATTCCGCTATACAATATCAATGGAACGCTCAACAAAGATGGAAGCATCTCGGAAGTAGCCGTACTACAGATGCAGATAGGAGAACATGTCGAGAAGACGGTGTTCATGGTCACGGACATAGGTCCAGAGGATGTGATTGTTGGGTTGGATTGGCTATGCGAGCACAACCCTGAAATAGATTGGGAGAACGGCTCTCTCAAGCTGTCACGATGCCCTGAAACGTGCGGGGCTAGGAAAACTAACCGAATGGAGCACACAGCGACTGCACATGATATGGGGGTCAGGCCCACAGCGCGCAGGTGTTCGCCAAAGTCCAAACAGTCAGTCATCGGTGCCTGCCGAAGTAAGGTACTCCTGGACTTCAAACCCGAAGATGATCCGGAGGAAATAGAGTGGACAGAAACTGACTTGATCGAAGCCTGGGAGCAAGGTATCACACTTCCCGGCGCTCCTCAGCTGTTTGTCGCAGCAGGGCATACATACTCCCAGCTGTTTGCTGAGGAAGAAATCAAGAAGAAGGTCGTTAAGACCACCGAGGAGTCAGTACCAAAGCAGTACCACGAGTTCCTGAACATCTTCTCCAAAGAAGCATCAGAATGGCTACCTGAAAGAAAGCCATATGATCATGCGATCGAACTCATGCCGGGCTACTCGACGTTCCATTCAAAGGTATATCCCTTGTCGAACAATGAGCAGGAGGAACTGCACAAGTTCCTAAAGGAGCAGCTGGCGAAAGGTTACATATGCGAGTCGAAGTTGCCCATTTCATCCCCCTTCTTCTTGATCAAAAAGAAGGAAGGGACACTTCGACCCATGCAGGATTATCGCTGACTGAATGCGATCACTGTCAAAAATTGCTATCCGCTGCTGCTGATCACCGAAATGGTAGACGAGCTCCGCGGCGCTACACTCTTCACGAAGTTCGACGTCAGATGGGGATACAATAATGTCCGGATCAAAGCCGGTGACGAGTGGAAGGCTGCCTTTGTAACTAACCGGGGATTGTACGAACCCCTGGTGATGTTCTTTGGCCTTACCAATTCCCCTGCAACCTTCCAGGCGATGATGAACAAGATCTTCCACAATCTCATCATCGGTGGCAAGGTCCTTGTGTACCTCAATGACATCCTTATCTTCTCCACCAATAAGGAGGAGCATGACAGGGTCACGCACGAGGTTCTTCGTTGCCTTCAGGAGAATGATCTGTTCCTGAAGCCTGAGAAGTGTGAATGGGATGTTCCCAAGGTTGACTATGTCGGCTATGTGTTCAGTGGCGATGAGGTAGCAATGGATCTGGCGAAGCTTAAAGGAATTAATGAGTGGCCGGTACCCCAGAACAAAAAAAAGTTCAAAAGTTCCGGGGGTTTTCCAACTTTTACCGCCGCTTCATTAAGGACTTCGCTAAGATCTTGCGACCACTCAACCGACTCACAGGAAACGACCCCTGGCACTGGGGCAATGAGGAGCAGCA